CTCGGCAGCCCCCCCGCTCCCGGCTTCCCTTCCCGGGTAGCGTTTGGGGTCTCCCAGGGGATGCTCTGCCAGGCCACCCCAGGGCGAGGAGGGGGACGGCCAGCCAGAGGTGCCGGGTTTGGCAGGGTACCTGGCTGTCGCATCTCCTCCTGCCTAGAAATAAACGGGGAGGGCCGGATCCTTCCCCCGGGCTGGCATTAAGCCTCCCCGGGCAGCGAGGGCTCCGATGGTCTTCGGCCTGTGGGAATCCGAACAAAATGAGTCGCGGCGCCCATACCTCTGTGTGTGTACATACATGGGTGCACCCCCGTAACGGAGGGTTAAGGGAGATACGTTGCCCAGAACGGTCCAGGGTAGTCATTAGCAAAATAACACTGACAACGGAAAACCTTTCAGTTGTTACGTACCGGGAAAGAGAAGAGATGGGCACGACCCCGTAAAGGACCTCGCGACTTCTTCCCTCGCGCCCCCCTCTCACGCTCAGCCGGCGCTGCCGCAAGGGCAGGCAGTGAAATCCCCAGCCGGGGATGCTCTGCAGGCGCACGGACGCATGAGAGCTCGGGATGCAATTAAACACAGGGGTTTTTAAAAAAAAAAAAATAAGAATTCATTACGTGATGCAACATGTGACACAGAGCCTCTGTGATATATAGCTCTCCCCGAGTATAATTAAGGCTTAATATCAAATCAGGACAGTAACAAACCCCCCTCTATGGGATTTCTTCGTCCTTAGGCGACGATGACAGATTTTTTGGAATTTGAAGGCTTGGTTCTCCAGGAGTAGGAAGGCTTTACATTGAAATGGCTTCCCTAGGTCACGAAAAGGCGGCTTTGGTTTCAGTCCCATACAAAACCGACTGCTGCGTTGCCTTTCATCTTCCTTGGCCAAGACAAACTCCAGCCGCTTTCAGCTTTATTTAATGACATTCAAGTAACTTGAAAGGAAGCAATTTTATTTGAGAATTTACAACACCCTTACCCTAAACTTTCTTTATTCCCTGTGTTAATGCATTGGTGGCCCTTTCACCCCAATGAGTGCTGGGCAGAAGGGAGCTCACTGCCCTTCGAAGGGATGCCACGGCTCAAGACCACAGGATGTTTTCTCTTGAGCCCCCCCGGCCCCGGGCCCCCCCCGCCCCGCCCTCCCCCGCCCCGACGTCCCTCTGCGTTTCCCGCCCCCCCCCCCAGATCCCAGTGCTTCAGCCCCTCAGCATTTTCTTAATAACTTCTTAATAACTGTCCCGGAGTAATAGTTACCTTCTTGCAGCTAAGTAGTTTACACGGAGAAGCTGATTGCGCCAGTGAGGATACACGACACGCTTTCATCGGCTGCTGTATGGAAGAAAAAAAGATGTTTCAGCAGAGATGAATTAGTATTGAGGTTTAATCAGTGGCTGCTCTACTGCTTTTTTGCTGGTGGAGACCTCAAAGAAAGGGGGCAGGTGTCCCCCGCCGTCCCCCTGGCAAGAGCCGCCCCACAGCTGGCAGCAGCTCCCTGCCCAGGGGACGCTCAGCTCCTGGGTCTGTTCCAGGTGCCATCGTCACGGGACGGATGTCACCGTGCCTCATCCCCGTGCCAGGAGCAGGCGGCTGCCCCGGCCGCGGGGCAGCGATGGGCACATGCAGGGTACCCCTGTCCCCATCCCGTTGGAGCATCCCCGTCCGCGGGTGGGAAGAGCAGAGGTGACTCTGCTCCTGTGCGCCCAGGGTCAGGGCTGAGCACGGAGGTGGCTGTGTTTGCAGTGCCTGTCCCCATCACAAGAAGTGACAATCAACTGCCAAGTGCAGGCGAGACTTCTCCCAGCAGAGAGGCTGCCTGCTGTATTTAGAAACGCCTTCTCATTTCCTCCCCTGTCGCGTCTCCGGCACACACACAACGTCTTTCCAGGATTAACTCACCTACTCGGGGTCTTCAAAGGTTTAAACCTTTGCGTTCCCCTGGATTTCAGGCTGACAAGGATCAGGTCGCTGCCCTTCGATGGCCTTCTTGCTATTGCATTGCAAGCCAAGGTCGCAGACCCTTCCCCTCCCCTGTACAATCTACGGGGTAACTCCAAGAACCAGCCGCTCCAGGAAATCCTGGCCATTTCTGGTCCCCTTCAGGGATCTCTGGAGCATCCTATGAAACCCCGGGTGAGGGGAGAGCTTCCAGGTGTGGCTTTGGAGCCAGTTCTCCCGTCACCTGGAAAGAAGAGCTGAAATGATCCCTCTCACCATGGCGAAGGGAAGGGAACCGCTTGCGTCCTATTCAAATCAGCTGTCAGTGCTGAGAGAGGATCCTCTTAACTTCCACCGGCTTGTCTGAGGCTGGCTGCTACTGGGGGACGTTTCATCTCCCTCCCGTCTAATCCACGGAGATGTGTGATACAGCATAAGCTAATATAATAGGTCATGCAAGGATTTACATCTCTTACTGCAGGTTAGAGTCCTGGGAGGAAGGATGAGTCACTCTTACTTGAATATATTTCAGGGATAAGGAACAGTTCAGCTGCCCAAAGAAAAGCAAATGGGAAATCAACCGCCTTGAAGCATCGCCGTGGGCTTGATCACCAGCCCCCCGCACCCTCCGCGTCCCCTCTCTCTTCCACCTCCAGATGGGACACCGGCCTCCCCGGAAAGAGCACGGCCCAAAGAGCCAAAGGGATGGGAGAGCTGCCAGCGGCTGTGAGACCTCGCTGGAGGTCCTTTCCCTCGCCTTTTGCTCCATCCCTGCAAAACCAGTTCCCCAGCCACCCCGGGCTGCGAGAGGCCGCGGAGAACAACCCCGTGGTCCCCCTCCGCT